GAAACTAACAGCAGCTAAATTGAGCAATTCTTTGTCCAAGGGCCAGGTTAAATAGAATCACAGAATCACAGCATGGCCTGGTTTGCAAAGGAGCACAGCGCTCATCCAGCTCCAACCCCTGCTGTGTGCAGGTCGCCAACCAGCAGCCCAGGCTGCCCAGAGCCACATCCAGCCTGGCCTTGAATGCCTGCAGGGATGGGGCATCCACAGCCTCCTTGGGCAACCTGTGCCAGTGCCTCACCATCCTCTGGCTGAAAAACTTCCTCCTCATATCCAACCCAAACCTCCCCTGTCTCACTTTAAAACCATTCCCCTTGTCCTGTCACCATCCACCCTCACGAACAGCTGTTCCCCTCTGCTCCCTTCAAGTACTGAAAGGCCATAATGAGGTCTCCCCGGAGTCCCCTCTTCTCCAAGCTAACAATAGCTGTTTTCCAAGCTAAAATAGCTGTTTCTAACCTTGATGTGCTTTGGTTTTTACTTTCTGATTTTGTTTCCAGTGCATCCACCGAGATGTAAAGCCAGAAAACATCCTGATAACGAAACACTCTGTCATCAAACTCTGTGACTTCGGATTTGCTCGCATGCTGAGTGAGTGCTGCTGCCTGCCTCCATGGGTGGTACATGCCAGGGCTCAGTGAAGCGCAGGTTTGGGCTTTCAGGCCTCAGTAATGTTACATCTTGTGTAACATATAAGGGCTGGTGTGTTTTTACAAAGAGCTTCTGCTGAAGGCACTGGAGATGCTTGGATTGGGATCCCCAGAGCAGATTAAATAGGGCTGGCTCAGACATTTGAATGCCTCTATAATTAATGTGCCCTGAGCTCCCTGCTGGTGCTGAGCCGGCGGCTGGCCTGACCACTGCTTGTGCAATGCTGGGGCACAGCTGGAGTTCCCTAGCAGGAGGGCTCCCTTTGGCAGAAGGTGCCACCTCTGCAAACAATAGCTTCACATTTTCCATCGTAATAAAGCCCCCGATTTTATTTTTGTAGCTGTTGTTCAAGCAAATCATGTGGGCTTCGAGAGCTGGCACGGGGCCTGCAGCCGAGCTCTGTGTGTGTTCATTTTGAGAAAAACATGCTCTGGGTTTTTCTCTACTCCTGAGTATTTGCAAAGTTGGATTCTGCTGGTGGGCAGTGACTCATCCTGTTCCTGGAGCTCACGTGGGTCCCAAAGGTGCTGTTGATCTCAGAATCACAGAACGGCCCGGGTTGGAAGGGACCTCAAGGATCACGAAGCTCCAACCCCCCTGTGCCATGCAGGGCCACCAACCTCCACATTTCACAGCAGCCCAGGCTGCCCAGGGCCCCATCCAACCTGGCCTTCAACACCTCCAGGGATGGACGGGGCATCACAGCCTCTCTGGGCAGCCTCTTGTTGCTGCCCTGAGCTGCGTCCGCACCCTTCTGACCCCACACCCCGCTTTGTTGCTCTCCTTCCTGACCCCAACCCAGCTGGCCCAGCTGATTACTACACAGACTACGTGGCCACCAGGTGGTACCGCTCCCCCGAGCTGCTGGTTGGGGACACGCAGTACGGCCCCCCGGTGGACGTGTGGGCAATAGGCTGCGTCTTTGCGGAGCTGCTCTCCGGGGTGCCGCTGTGGCCCGGCAAGTCGGACGTGGACCAGCTGTACCTGATCCGCAGAACGCTGGGTAAGCAGCAGGCCCACCGTGGCTGCACGAGGATGGGTTTCCTCCGTGGATGCCGCTGTGCAGTGACTGATTTCTGGGCTGGGAGGGAACAGAGCTCCGTGTGTAACTCGGAATGAGTGGAGAACTGTGATGTTCTGCTGAGCAATGTATACAGGCAGGAAGGTGAGCTGGGGCTGTAAACTCCTTAGCTAGGAGTATAATTAAACTTCCAATTCCTTGAGGTGACGGATGGGGGGTGCTCACAGAACAGTATTTTGTTGGCTCCTCTGATGGTACTTTAAATATTCTCTTGGATGCTGCCAGCCTTGTTAGATCAGCTCGCTCATAGCAGACACTGTAAAACCAGCCAATTGTTCTGATTGATTTTCATTCTGTTTCCTCCTTGCTCAAAGGGGATCTTATTCCCAGGCACCAGCAAGTGTTCAGCACCAACCAGTTCTTCAGCGGCGTAACGATTCCAGACCCAGAGAGCATGGTAGGAGCTCCCTTCAGATGCGTTCCCCTCCAGCTCAGCACTAACCAGCAATCTACAGGCAGCGTGGTGAAAGAAAAGCTTGCTAATACAACTACTTTTTTTTCTCTCTTTTTCCTCCAGGAGCCATTGGAAATGAAATTTCCTACTATTTCATACCCTGCTTTAGCTCTCATGAAGGTAAGCAAAGTGTCTGAAGCTGAAGCTCACAAGGTCCTCTACCCGAAGCAGCGTGCCCAGGAGGCAAGGAGCTACAGCTTGAGCTCCACACTGAGACTTAACAAATGCAGTCTGCTTTGCTTGTTCAGATGGTAGATGGTTTGAGATTTGGCTACTGAACGATCATAGGTTCATAGAAAAACAGAGCTGAAGGGGAACTGGAGAAAACTTTTAATCTGCTTCTTGTTAACCCACTCATCTTTAGCACAGACATGGAAAACAAATTGTTCCATTGAGATGCACCAAGTGGAAACCATGAGGGTGAAGGCATTAAAACTAAGGTGCAGCTTTAGGTAGCACCAAACCCTGGAACAACACAGCTAGTGATGCACTGGATTCCTCAGTTTAAGAAGACTGTTCTGGTTCAACTGGAAGTCATGGGCTTAGCTGTTTTCTGAGACTTGATGGTTTGCTGTAGAACAAAAGTGTCCCTCTAGCCTTAGTTTCTAAGTATTGCCTTCTGTCAGAGGTGGCATTTGTTCATGTGAGCTGCTTTGCAAGCTTCCAGCTGACACTAAAAAGCCAGATTTGTAGAATTCCTTGAAAAATAAAACCTATGCATCCATCTGTGCAAATACTCATTGGCTGTTGCAAAGAGCTGGAATCGTGCAGACCCTTATGTATCTTTATGTTCTGTGTGACCCTTGGTCTCTTCTAAGGGCTGCCTTCGTATGGACCCTGCAGAGAGGCAGACGTGTGAGCAGCTGCTGCAGCACCCCTATTTCGACAGCATTAGGGAGGCAGATCTGGGGAAAGAACATGAAAAAGCAGCTCGGAAACCAGCCAAGCTGACACGGAAGCACGTGCCGGGGGTAATGCTTTCATTGTAGTGTTTAATGCTCAGTGTCCAGGGAGGGAAGTTCACAGAATCACAGAATCACAGAATTGTAGGGGTTGGAAGGGACCTCCAGAGATCATCGAGTCCAACCCACTGCCAAAGCAGGTTCCCTACAGCAGGTCGCACAGGTCGGCATCCAGGCAGGTCTTGAACATCTCCAGAGAAGGAGACTCCACCACCTCCCTGGGCAGCCTGTTCCAGTGCTCCGTCACCTCACTGTAAAGAAGTTCTTGTGCACATTTGTGCAGAACTTCCTATGCTGCAGTTTCCAGCCGTTTCCCCTTGTCCTGTCTCCACTCACCACTGAAAACAGTCTGGCCTCGCCATTCTGCCCCCCACACCTTAGATATTTATAGACCTGGATCAGGTCCCCTCTCAGTCTCCTTTTCTCAAGGCTGAACAGACCCAGATCACTCAGCCTTTCCTCATAGGAGAGATGCTCCAGGCCCTTCACCATCTTCGTGGCCCTGCGCTGGACTCTTTCCAAGAGATCCTTGTCTTTTTTGTACTGAGGAGCCCAGAAGTGGACACAGTACTCCAGATGAGGTCTTACCAGGGCAGAGTAGAGGGGGAGGATCACCTCCTTTGACCTGCTGGACACGCTCTTTTTAATGCACCCCAGTAAGCCATTGGCCTTTTTGGCTACAAGGTTGTTTTCTTAATGTGGTGCCCACAAGTCGGGCTCAAGAACAGGTTGGGCAGTTCGTGGGGAGGTGAAGTTCTCACATTGGAGCAGCCTTAATTTTAGCCCGAGGAGAAGATCACAGAATCACTAAGGGTGGCAAAGACCTCCAGGATCCAGTCCAAGCAGCCACCTACCTCCAGATTTCCCACTAAACCATGTCCTTCAGTACAACACCTGAACAGATCCAAAAGGAATCTCCTGGTTAAAGAGGAACTCACTGCAGGCTGAATTCTGCACTACAGCTCCATCGGGTGACTGGGGATAGGCAGCACAGCAGTGTGACAGATGAGGTTTATTTAGGAAAGTGCATTCTGGATGAGGTGTAGCAGGACTGCTGAGCAAACTGCATGTGCTCGTGACTCTTAGTTTGAAAAGTACAGGAGTGCAGTATGAATAATTTTATGCCTTATATCCCTGTTTGAAAGATGAACTGCATGCTTTCTCCTTCTTTCAAACAACTACACGTGATGTAACTCTTGCTTTACTTCCAGTACCTGCCTCAGTTAAGCAGCAGCAATGTTCTGCCAGCTTTGGACAGCAAGAAGTACTTCTGCAAAACGAGGAAATCCAACTACCATTTCCCTAACATCTGAGTGGGTGGCAGATGAAAAACTACCTAGCATTCAAAGTTCCAGTCCTTCAGCACTTATAAAAGGCCACGTGGTGGAAACCTGAATTAATACAGGTGATGATGTATACAGAAATGGACTGTAAGGTACTCTGGGCTACTGGTGGAAGGAAAGTGGTGCACTCCAAGCTCACGTTAGCCAGTGTTCTGTGTAAAGAAAATATAATTCTTCTTTACTTTAATTTTTCTTTACTTATGATTCTTTTTACTTTAATTTGTGATTGCCTACTGGTTCAGGATTACTGCAAAGCAGTGTTACAGGGTGAATCTTGAGAACTCTGTTGCCTATCCATTAGCTGTGTTTCAGACTTGGCAGGAGAACTGTAACCTTGCCGAATAAATCCGGGTCACTGTGGCTAGCTAACAGATGCTGCAAGGACCTGTAAACCTATTCCCTTTGTGAGTGGAAGACAGATGTGTGTGTGTGTGTGTGTGCAGCTGAGGAGAATTAGGTCCAGCTGATTACAAACCTGCTGAAATAGCAGTGTTTTAAAGATATGTCTATCTTGTGTAAGGCAAAGTATCTTTATAGAAAGTATAAAGTATCACGAGCACAGGCATTGACTTAGACTTACTGGAAGGCTCCTCAGGCACTGGGAACAGAAGGAGAATGTAATTACTGAAGTCTGCTTTTTTTCTTTGGCCTTTCCAGAGCTTCTCCTGTCTGTCTCTTCCTTGCAATACGAAGTTATTTATATTTGCTGGCTTTGTCATGTGAAGTCATTCGCCTGTAGTGTTACAGAAATTGTTTTTATCAAAAACAATTCAATATAATTTATAACAGTAGCCAGACACGGGCAATAATTCTGCCTACGTCTGTGTATTAGAACAAATCTTGGATTTTGTGTAATTTCAGAATGTAATATTGTGTTGATTTTTAATTAAAAAAAAATGTAGCTTGTTCTTCCAGTTCACAGGATGTGTTTTACTACATAAGCTTTTAATAATGGTCAAGATACTGCCTCTTCCTACTTGAAAATTAGAGCAAAAATGTTTCCTTTTCCCAGTTCTGTTATGTGTTCAGCAACAGTAAGAACAATTTCAGTGAAACAGGAGCTCCATCCCTACTGAGCATAACTGCCTACCTTATATTCCATATGATATTTTAATCCTGGAGCTTGTCAGGTGGTTCTGGTTATGCTCAAAATGCTGGCATTGCTGTAAGGCTGAGTCATCTAATTCTGTGTATTTGCTAAGCACCCAACATCCTTGTGTAACTGCTGTAACTGACAGCCTAGCAGTCAGCTCTTGGACACGGCCCTGGGCAGTGCAGGCTGGAGGAACTTCCCTTGGTGCTGCTCCTGCTCTGTGCTAGGAGCTGTCAGCCTGAGATGCAGCTAGAGCAAAAATGTTACCCCTTCCAGTGCATCATTTACTTCTGAGGATAAAGTGGCAGCTGGGGATAATAAAAGAGGCTCTCAGCTCTGGCACTGTAGCCGTGCTTGGGGCATTACTCTGAAAGTGGCTTTCTTGGAATCATCACCTCCCATCTTTGAAGGGAAGCTCAGGAGCTGACTAAAAAGGATGTATCTTTCCTGAGGGTGGATGACTCTTACTGAGTGATACGGTTGCAAGTAAAGGGGTACAAAGGTTTAGTCCATGTGAGAGTGTGGCAAAAATGTACAGGGCTCATTGTGGAGAGCCTACCTCTCCACAAATCCAGCCAGTTGGTTCATCAGCTCAGATTTTATGAGGATAGACTGCTTGTCTGCAGCTCAGTCCAAGGAAGCAAAGAAAGACTCTGCCAATCAAAGAGTGAACAGCAGAAAAAAGGCCCAGAAGCTCCTGTCACTCACTCACTAGGTGACACCTTCAGACAAAGTAAATGGCTGTCATTCCAACTCCGAGGATTCTGTGACTCTATGATTCACATGGCATCAACACTGTCTCATAAATCTGCACAGCACTGCTGCATCACAATACTGACATTCTGTTCACTGAAGTTCTACACAAGAACTTCTGTGCAATACAGTAGTTTGTAACTTCTGATCGAACTATTAAGGCTTCCTATAAAGCCTACTACTACACACAGAATCCTCAAGCTTAATGAAATTTAACTGCATAATTTGTTAAAAGACTGCATATGACTTTTAAGGCTGGATTGAGAGATCTGGGTTTATTTCCATACCTGTAAACAGAGCAGCATCCACAACTTAATTTACACAACATGTGATAAAGAGCATGAAATCAAATATCCCTCGTTGCATTCAGTCCAGATCCAGCTCCAGCTCTAGGTTTGGCAGTGCCTGCTGAAGGACACGAGCAGTAGTTTCTTTCTGTCTTATTCCAGGAAGGTCACTCAGATACAAATATTCAAGGTTCCTATAAATACATAAGAAGAAAAGTCAACTACTATTTAACTGCTGGCTCAGATATCAGGCAAAGGATGATTCTACTGCAGCTGTTAGGAGTATTTGAAAGGTTAATGATTCTCACAGAAGATTTTTTCCAAATAGAGTGCTTGAAGTTTTTAGTTGATAACAAAGTCAGTACTTGTACACAGTTTACAAAGAGGTCCTGGCCACTCAACATCATCGAGTTTCCTTTAAATGTAATCAATAAAGCACACATGATGTGCTTCCAAGCTATAGGAGGGTGCTGTATCCAACTCATACCTCTTCCCAGGCTGAACACTGCAAGAGAGAACTCCTGAGACCTCTAAGGCTACAGTGAGCACAATGTAACCAAGTGACAGGAAGCATTGTAAGATGCAGGAATGTGATAACAAAAGACACCGTGAAAACCTGCCCTGAAAAGCAACTGCAGCACAGAGGGGTGTCATGAGTAGAAGCCATGGTTGTCAGTAGTTTCTTATTCTCAAGCAAAACCATCTTGGTGTGCTGACACGAAAGGAAGGTGATCTAATCATTCCTATTGCTCCTGGGGACAGAGGGCACGTCCTGCTCTCATTTGTGCAGTAACTTCAGGTGGAAAGGGGGAATGTGCTGCACTCAGCTCCAAAGGTAGAAGCAAAACCTTGAGATTCACCCGCTGTCACAGACAATTCTGGCTTTTGCAGCTGCAAGCTTCAGTGCTGCATTAAGTACCTGATACCAACCTGAAGAGGCTGATTAACACATACATATTAATTCACGTGTCGTTTCAAAGCTATCCACAACACTGTTTTCAATCATAGTTGAAGAAGTATTTCCTGCAGTGGCAGTGCCACCCCTCCCAGGTTTTATTCAGGTCAGTTCCTTAATCCCAGCCCTCCCACTGCCCCACACATCTGAACAGCCCACAAAACAAGACTTCAGCGTTCCCAAGCAACCTAACCCAGCACTGTGGGCTGGTACAGAAGAGCTCAGCAGTTCACCTACGTCAGCTTGTGAAGTGCAATGATGCCTTTATCTGTGACATTCCCACAGGAAATGATCTTCAACTGCAGGAGGCTCTTTTGTAGGTTCTTTGTGTCGCTGAGCCTCTGCAGGCACTCATCCTGTATATAAATGCACTTCTGCAGCTTGATTTCAGTAACGTGTTCAAGACCATCTGAAAAGACAAAAAGAACATTGGCTTCAGAGTACCAGCAACAACCAGTATTGGCTGTTCCATTCCCCCTTGTAAATGCAGTAACACAGAAACATACTCCTACATGCAAGAGGGACCTCATGCACAATGAATCTCCAAAGTCCCCTCTTGTGGGACTTCAAATTATGAACAACCACCTTTTGGCATCCTAAGGTAATATCCTTAAAGCTCTGATACAGGCAAGTAACAAAGAAAACTCTGCAAGTTTGTGTGAAAAAGAATGATTCTGAATTAGGAACACTGTACTGTGCTAATCCCCACTCTGGTTTTTGTTATCTAAAGGAAAACTGAAATGCTTTTAGATCTTTTTATGCTCTATAAGAAATGGATGCATGCTTTTTTTCTTTTACTGACTTTGAAGATACCATAAATTCTTGGAGGACAAGCAGTATTATGGCTTCACAGCCACCAAAACCATCAGTTGGTGGTGAAAGGCACTATTTTAAACACTATTTTTCTTTTAAACCAACCTCTTAACTATGAAGTTAATTGAACTGCCAATCTTTGGTGCATTTCCTTAGTGCTACTGCCACTCCAAGTAAAGGCTGAGATCTTTCCTCCTGCTTCCTAGCACACCTCCAGCAAAATCTTAGAACTGCTGAATCTCTGTAGGAGCATTTTAAGGAAACCAACCAACCAACCAACCAGATTTCTCTACATCTTACTACGGAACGAGGTGTTAACATTTATTAACAGTTGTTAACATTTGTATGTACTGCAAGAACCATGTCGTTTGGCCTTACCCAAGTAGTCAAATCCTCTGTACATGATGCAAGACTCAGTGGCGTTGATTGCTTCTATCTTGTATTTCCCTAAGGGCCCAGTGGGGAGGCCGCTGTAGTCCTGCTGCCATTTCTCATAGCCTTTATAGCGTACCAGTGCTCCACACCGCAGCAGCCACTCTGAGGCTGCCCTGTCGGGCCCAACAGCCTGGATGCGCTCGTAGTCCACCCTGCAAAGCCAGGAAGAGCATTTATGTTTCTTATAAGCTGTCAGATTTATTATCACAGCATTGTAGGGGTTGGAAGGGACCTTTGGAGATCGCGGAGTGCAACACTCCTGTATAGCAGCTCCCTGCTGCAGGCTGGATCTTAATCAGTCTGGCATTACGGTTTGTTGTGTGTCATTTGTTTGTTCCTTTAATATCACTTTGTTAATGGAGGAATACAAACGCAGCTTGACTCAGCACGCAGTAACCCTTCTCACACCTGTGACACGCAAGCCATTCATGAGCGCTCTTCCCTCAGGAATTACAGCACTCTAAATGCAGTGGATAGAACCCTTATTATTTTGCCCAGAGCGGCTGTGATGCCCCATCCATCCCTGGAGGTGTTGAAGGCCAGGTTGGATGGGGCCCTGGGCAGCCTGGGCTGCTGTGAAATGTGGAGGTTGGTGGCCCTGCGTGGCACAGGGGGGTTGGAGCTTCGTGACCCTTGAGCTCCCTTCCAACCCGGGCCGATTTGTGATTCCATGAACCCTTGGATCCACTCTGACACAAGCTGTTTGTTAGGCCGGTGAGGAACGAAGACAGAAGCAGAGATCCGGAGGACTCGTCCCGCCCCGCCGCCAGCCCCTTACTTGTTGAACACGGCGTTCAGCCAGCCCCAGAACCGCCTGCAGCCGCCCGCCGACAGCCGTTCGCTCAAGCTGCGCGCCGGCTGCGCAAGTTTTCCCAGCAGCATCTCGAAAATCCAAGGGGAAAGAAAGGCGAAGGGAAACGTCACTCGCAGCGCCCGCCCCGGCAGCCCAGCGCCCTTCCCCCGGCGCGGCCCTCCGCCGCCCTCCCCGCCCGCGGCCGCCCACAAGATGGCGGCGCTGCTCGGGCGGCGCTGCGGCCGCGTTGTGGCTGCGGCGCTGCGGAGGGCTCAGGTCCGGCAGCGCAGGTGAGGCCGCGGCCGCCGCGCTCCGTGAGGGCCGGGGCGGTAGGGGATCTCGGGGACGGCCCGGCCCCGCCTCGCGTTGACCGCGCTGACACCCGTGCCCCTTGTTTTTGCAGCACGTTCGACGTAGCGGTGGTCGGTGCGGGAATCGTGGGGCTGGCCGCCGCCCGGCAGCTCGTCCTGAGGCACCCCGCGATCAGCTTCGTCGTGCTGGAGAAGGAGCGGCAAGTAGGTACGGCAGGCGGGGCCTGGATGGCCTTTAAGGTTCCCTTCCGCCTGGCTGGATCTGCGGTTCCTGCAGTTACTCCTCAGGGTGCTCCGTGTGCACGGCCAGCACTGAAGCGGCACGGCTCCCATCGCTGCCTCAGACGCTGGGGGGTTTATTTCCAGCGTGCTTAAGGATGCCGGAGATGTCGAGGCATGTGGACAGCTGTCCTGGTTTTGAGATAAGAAAGTTGGAGCCCTGTAATTTCAGTGCTGCTGAGCAATCCCCAAAGAAGAGGGCAGGCTGCAGGGGAGCTGCACCAGATGGCCTGCCTTTAGTGGTCCCTTCCAACTCCATGACTCTATACCTTAAGAGAGAAAACGTGCCCAATTCCTTCCATAAAAATGGTATTGATGTTTTTCAACTCAGTTTGACCTGGTTGCAAAGTAACCAAGTAAACTGAAGAAGTTAAAGAGCAAGCTGATGCAGTTCACAAGAACTTGAAAAGCCTTCTGGACCCGACATGCCCCAAACAATTGACTGTCGCACTGACTTTTTGTTAAGTGAGGCCTTTAAGGATATATTTCGCTGTAAAATATGAATTAATTAAACTTAGCATAGGAGCTTGGATCATCTGGCCTGCTGTTGTAACGCTTGGAGCAAAAAATTGCTGCCCCCTCATGTTGATTCAGCACATTTCAAGCTGTCACAGTTAGTTATTAACTAAGTGTTGCTACGGCTGTATTTTTTTTAACCTTCTGAAACCCAGGCTGGAATTGTGTGTGCTGTGTGGTTATGTTATATCAGCACGTCTTGTGATGACACTTATTTAGGGGAGGACCTCCAATAGCACACTTTTCCAATGGGTGAAATAATCAATCGTGGGATTCTAATGGTGTATTTTAACAGAGCGTTTTTCTTTCTCTTTAGCTCATCACCAGAGTGGACATAACAGCGGTGTGATTCACAGCGGCATTTACTACACTCCTGGATCCCTGAAAGCCAAGCTGTGTGTACAAGGTGCAGCTCTCTGCTATGAGTATTGTGACCAGAAGGGAATACCATATAAACAATGTGGGAAGGTATAGGAACTACTTTGCAAACTCTATCTGTATAATATATATTACAGTGTATTGTCTATGCCTGGCTATGGTAGTGTCTCCCAAGAGATGCTTTTTACAGCCTTCCAGACAAAGGTGTTTTCATATTTTCTTTTTCTCAGCTACCCAAGTCAGTTCCTTCACTGACCCTAAGCAATTATTCTCCTTATCTGGGAGCTGAGCTGAATCAGCCCAGGTAAGAGTGGAAGCAAAGTGCCATGGTGGGCACCCATGCAGAGCCATTAATTCCAGGGAACACAAAGGCTCTCAGTATGCATCTTGGCATAACAAGCTCTGAGAAGACTCACTGACTTGAATACAGCTTCAGATGTGACCCAGCTACGTGGGTGTATGTCATGTTACATCCAGGTAATACATCTCAGAGTGCTAGGAACGGAATTGTGGCTGTACTGGTTCAGATCAGGATGTATGCAACCTGTGTCTGGAAGTGTCTACAGCCAAAGACTGAGGAAGGAATGAGAACTAGACAGGCAAATCTGCTAATTCTTCCAGATTCCACATGCTTTCAGTTCAGGTTCACAGTTGTACTCCAAGCCTTATCTGGCTTGTCTGTGGTAATTCAATGGATTTCTTGTCCAAGCATTTTTCAATTAAAATCAGTTTCACAGATCAGCAACTCATTGCGTGAGCCCGTGCCCAGCTACCCCTTTTGGTTTTGAAGCCAGCTCCTGCTAGCTTCATCTGATGCCTGTTGGCCCTTTAATTGGAAGACATGCTGAACAATCAGTCTGTGCTGACATTTTCCCAGTCATGCATCATTTTGTATTTCCTGCTCCTCATAAATCAGCTCTTGCAGCTGGTGACTCTTAGCCTGCTTAGTCACTCCTGTGAGAGAAGCTGTTTCGTGCCTTTTGTTACTCACATCTTGTTTTCTGTGAACCATTTGTAGTTTAATGCATCTTTGGTACAAGATGAGCTCCAGCATTCAGGGTGTGGTCAGACTCTGGATTTTTGCACTGAAATATTACAGTTCTCCACTATTGCTTTGTACCCCTTTCCTAATAGTTCCCAATTTACAATTTGGGACATTTTTACTGTCACAAGACACGGAGCTGATGTTTTCACAGAATCACAGAACTGTAGGGGTTGGAAGGGACCTCCAGAGATCATCGAGTCCAACCCCCCTGCCAAAGCAGGTTCCCTACAGCAGGTCGCACAGGGTTCATAGGACTGTCTGCGGTAGCTCCAAGGTCTTGGTCCTGAGCAATAACTTGGAACCTGATGCTCATCATTTTGTGTAAGAGGCCAAAACCTTTTGTTCTGTGGACGTCGTTTCACACTTCACCTGCGCTGAATTTCATCAGCCATTTTGCTCACTTCTTGCTCGCCTCAGAATGTCCCTCTGTAGTTCTTCAGGATCACCTCCACAAAGTATCAAAACCACCTCGAGCTGCTTTGAGCTGTCACCTGACTTACCTCACTTACCTGGTTTCCCCTTTCCAGGTCACTCAGAAATATCTTGGGTAACAAAGGCCTTTCCCTTAAAAATGCAGACCTTGGCTGATGTGATGGCCGCTAGCCCAGTGGCTTTTCCTCAGCACGAGCTGCGAACTGGGTGCAGATCTCTTCCAGAGATGGGGACGCAGAGCAGAGGCACCTGCGGTGTGCAGTGCAGGTGGATCCGTTTGTCTGCACAGAGCTGTGCAGCCTGAGCTGTGACACTGGTCACAAGGTGGCAGTGTGGCTTTGTGCAGCCCTTACACCCGCAGTTAGGAGCCAGCTCCCAGCTCAGAACTGGGAACCAGCTGGGAGGTTGTGGTGCTTTAGAAGGGCTAGCACTGTCCTACCAGTGTTCTTGGTCCTTTGCTGACACTGTGTGTCTTCGTGCATCACCTTCCTCAGCAATATGTATTCCAGGGAAGATTATGAATCTTTATAGCTGATTTTAAAACAAAGCAACCCCAGGCTTGGACAAATTTGTGCCCTATAGTGCAAAGGTGCCAGTGTTCTCAGAGCTGAGCTGGGGCTGCAAGTAGTGTTGCCTGTGCCAGCTAGCTTCTGGAGTCCTTGGTGCACACAGTTCACAGCCTGGATAAATCTCTTGCAGTAGTGATCCAACTGCATGCTGGAATGAAGGGAGGCTGCTGCACTTCAGTTTAGATGTGGTATCAGAGCCCATCCTTTACTCTGATACCAAAACAGTTTTGAGATTGGATTAAGGTCAGTGTGGTCTCCTTGGAGGCATCCCGGTGGCTCCTTAAAATCATCGTCTCTTCTTTCAGATTTGTGATCCCATAATGCTTTTAGCAAATATTTTCCATGGATGGTCATTGAAACGATACTTTAATGTTTGTTTTTCACTGTCTTTACTGTATTGTGCTTTCTCAGTGGTGGATGGTATTTACCAACTTGTGCCAGTAGTGGTGCAAGGTATTTTTTTCCCCTTTCCATTCTAATTCAATGTTTGCTCTCACTATTGCTTGCTCTTAGCTTAGGATTGATGCCAGGCCTGAACGGGCTTTGTGTATTTTGCTCACTAGTGTGCTTTGTTATCTTTTCTGTAGCTAATTGTAGCTGTTGAACAAGATGAAATCCCAAGACTCAAAGCTCTGTATGAGAGAGGGCTCCAGAACAACGTCCGAGGTCTGAAGTTGATTGGAACAAAAGAAATACAGGCAAAAGAACCCTTCTGCAGGGTAAGGGATTTTCTTACATTTAACTGTCATGCAAGATCTCAGCTTTTCAGGTGATGATATTTTTGAATTTAAGGTAAGTATGTTTCTGCCTTGAGGGAATTTGCATGCATGTTAAGCTCCGAAGACCCTGAAAGCCTAGAAGAAATGTGACTGCCAACACGAAAGTACAGATCCATTCATTTCTGGGACTTCTTAACTAAGGCCAGTTCTTCACGTGTGTTATTCATTACACGGAATTCAGACCAGGTCTATCACATTATAAGGTGATCCCACAGAATCTTTTGTGTTGATGGATATTTTTACCCAGGTTTTCTTCTGCTCACTGTTCATCCGTTCTCTGTGTGCTGCGGTCATTAAGAGCTGCTGCTGCTGCACTAATTGCTGGTGAAATGCTGGCTGTGTCACGAGAGCCAGCATTCACAAACTGGAGAGTGGGTAATTAACATCAGCCTATCAAAGAAATCAGAATTATTTCAGTCAAAGTCCGGAGGGACTCCACAGCCCCTCTGTAGGACTGAATCTATAAGCAAATAGTCAGGGTCTACAAGCTGTTTGAACTTCAGCCTTTGCTCAGCTTTACACATAGGTGTCGTCTCTCACATATGTATGTGCTCAGGGAAAAAAAAAAGAAAGGAAAAGAAAGCCACCACAATTTCTCCCTAATTTTAAAAAATTTGTTTCCTCTTCTACTTGCAGGAGCCTGCCTGTGTGTTTTTGTGGTTGATTGGCAGGCTTTCCCTTGTCCAGGTCAGAACTGCTGCATTTGAGCTTATGCTAAGACAGTTCTGTACCTTCCCACTAAAATTACATAGCTTATGTCAAATTTGATAGTGCAGCGATGAGTTTGTCTTTTCATCTGCAAATACAGATTGGTATCAAGGCAATTTTGGTGGCATTGTTTCATACCCGTGTTGTGGCACCTGTCAGCTTGTTTATTTTGACAGCAGTAGAAATGTGAGCAGTTTGTGGGTTACAGAGTTGTTATTGTTTGGTTTGTTGTTGATGGAAAGGAACGTGGATGTAAACTCCCTCTACAGGTTCAGCTGGCAGCTTGGTCTTGCTGTAGATGTGTGACTCACTGCTTACGAGTGGTTGCAGGTACATACAAAAAATTGGTGGAAGGAAGTTTTCATCTTTTCATTCATTTTGTATCCATTCCTTAAAACTTTCTTTGCTTTGTGTTCAAGACTCAGCTGAGCACTGACTTCTGCAGATGACTGGATTCAGCCTTCCTCCGCTTGCTTTGGTTTCCTGAACTGAATCCCTTCCTCCTAAACGTAGGGGGCTTGAATGGTCTTGCAATACATTGCACTTCAGTCAGAATTATGTCAGGAATAGTTGTTCATATTGTGGTTTCACAATTATTTAACCCACTGCAATTGGTTTTCACCTTATTAGTTGTCAGTAAACACAGACACTGCTACTGGAGCTGGCATGTGGAGAGGTGAGGGACAAGCAGCCAGGGATGGGGAGACAGCAGAACTCCATTCTCAGTGGCAGTGTGTGTTATTCCAGAGGAAATATATCAAATATATCTGTATCAAAGACCAAAGTATGCATACAACTTTCACTGGTGGTTTTATTTTTTGTGTGTGTGTGTATCTGAATACCATTTCAGGGTCTGATGGCCCTTGATTCTCCATACACTGGCATTGTGGATTACAGACAAGTGGCTCAGTCCTATGCTGAAGACTTCCAGGAAGCAGGTGGAACAATCTTGACTGATTTTGAAGTTACAGACATGGAGATGGCTAAAGAAAGTTCTTCAGGAGATGAAGATGGTAAGGCAGTTTTTACCTTCTTTTTGCTATAGTCCTGAAAGAGATTTTGTTCAAAACATGTTTGTGTCAATTGAAATCACGTTTCCTAGCCTTTCTGTCTGTGATGTGTTTAGACAAAAGGCATAATGGTGTTAGTGAGAGTGTTCAGCAAGCTCACTGTTTTTCCCAGGCAGGTCAGCCTTCAGTTGAAATACTTAATGTGTCAAAATGACAGTAAAATAAATGGGAAATAGGTTGTTCTCTCCTGTTAGAAATGTGATTTAGTTGAATATTGCATTTGTGTGCTTGTGACAGTGCTCTTTCTTTATCCTAGAAGGTGGGTTGGATCTGGAGTGATGCACAGAGTGCAGATTGTGGAAGGGTAGAAAAACAGCAGTGTATAAATGTAATTATATCCAACCATACGTCCAGGAGTGGCTTTTCTGTAGTCTGCCAGGGGAAGACCCTGGTAATTACAGACCTGTCAGCCTCACTTCAGTGCCTGGTGGAATGATGAAGATTATTCTGGGAGTTATTGAGAACACTTGGAAGACAATGTAGTCGTTGGTCACAACCAACATGAGATCACAAGGGGAAAGTCCTGTTCATGGATCTAATCTCCTGTTATGACAAGGTTGACACACCTGGTTGAGCAAGGGAAGCCATTTGATAGGACGTTTTTGGATTTTAGCAAAGCTTTTGATGCCGTTTCTCACAGTGTCTTCTAGACAAAGTGTCCAGCATACAGGTAGGCAAAAACAGAATGCAGTGGCTGAGCAATTGGCTGATGAGTGGATCTCAAAATGCCATTCCAAATGGGGTTACATCAGGCTGGCAGACAGCCAGTAGAGGGGTTCCACAGGGCTCCATTTTAAGGCCGCTTATACTTCTATCTAATTCTGTTACAGGACTGAAGTACCCAGTCATTGTTAGGAGCTCTAAGGTAAGAACTAAACTTAAGATTTATTGTCTTCATAGGAAGCTATTTCTCCTTTCCTTAAGAATATCTGTTGAGCCCTAGTGTGTTAATCAACCTCTAAAAAGACAAAAAGCTGCTGTTCTGCATCATGTGCACTACCTTCCGGGGCTGCTGTTACAAAACAACTGCAGCCAGCTGGTAGCAAAGCATGTGAGTATGCCCAGAGTTTACTGTGTGCTGGGAATAAAAATGAAAGTATAACTTTCTGCTGCCTGATGGTATGTGCTCCTTATCTTCCTTATTTGCACCTTTGTTTGTTGTTTCCATGGACTCCCTTTATTAGTTACTCATTTGGAGAGAAACGTATTCTCGTGTTTGTTCTCAATCTGCAGCATCTATGAAAAAAGATAAGGAGGCATTTGTAATAGTTTTATTATCAGAAGACCACAAGGGCATTCAGTACAGCAGGTCCATACGCTGAGGTCATTCCTGTCAGTTCATGCTGCACAGGAAATGTGCTTGTAACCTTTTTGTCTTCAAGGGAGAATACCTGGACTTTTCCTTGGAGACGGAGCAGAAAAAATAAGGCAAACAACACGTGCACAAAAAACATCCCCTACCCCACTGCAGATAGTGTTTGAAGTTAGTGCTGCTGGTTTTTGTATCTGGTTTTATATGGTTGGTTTCCTTTCTGATTGTGACTGGATTTTGCAAGGCTGTAGGGCGATGGGTCTCCTCCTGGTGGATATGTTGTATTTTTAATTGGGGTTGGTCTTGCTTTTGCCTTTCTTTTCTTTTCTTTTCTTTTCTTTTCTTTTCTTTTCTTTTCTTTTCTTTTCTTTTCTTTTCTTTTCTTTTCTTTTCTTTTCTTTTCTTTTCTTTTCTTTTCTTTTCTCTTCTCTTCTCTTCTCTTCTCTTCTCTTCTCTTCCCTTCCCTTCCCTTCCCTTCCCTTCCCTTCCCTTCCCTTCCCTTCCCTTCCCTTCCCTTCCCTTCCCTTCCCTTCCCTTCCCTTCCCTTCCCTTCCCTTCCCTTCCCTTCCCTTCCCTTCCCTTCCCTTCCCTTCCCTTCCCTTCCCTTCCCTTCCCTTCCCTTCCCTTCCCTTCCCTTCCCTTCCCTTCCCTTCCCTTCCCTTCCCTTCCCTTCCCTTCCCTTCCCTTCCCTTCCCTTCCCTTCCCTTCCCTTCCCTTCCCTTCCCTTCCCTTCCCTTCCCTTCCCTTCCCTTCCCTTCCCTTCCCTTCCCTTCCCTTCCCTTCCCTTCCCTTCCCTTCCCTTCCCTTCCCTTCCCTTCCCTTCCCTTCCCTTCCCTTCCCTTCCCTTCTTCCCTTCTTTTCTTTTCTTTTCTTTTCCCTTTTCTTTTCTTTTCTTTTCTTTTCTTTTCTTTTCTTTTCATCCCCCTCCAGGGTGAGGAAATCTGCTGTGGGCACATAGTGACCTGTGCAGGGCTTTACTCAGACCGCCTGTCTGAAATCAGTGGTTGCAGCCCCGAGCCTCGGATTGTACCCTTCCGTGGAGATTATTTGGTGCTAAAACCAGAGAAGTGCTACATGGTGAAAGGAAACATTTACCCGGTATGTACTCTCTTGTATGTGTTTCATGGTGTGTTGTAGGAACTGCTAAAGCCACAGACGGGAGGGCAGAATTACACTGTTGTTTCTGTTGGGCTGAAATGATGCGCAGCGTGAAATTAGAATCGTTTGATTTCTGCCAGGATGACTTGTTTTTGATGATTCTTGAGGAACAGGTAGAAAAAAAGTAGACGTGGCAGGAAAAGGACAAGCTTTACAATCTATTATAGCTGCCTGTCTGACCTCTGGTCACCTGGAAGTGATGCAGGATTGTGCCTTGGGATGGGAGGGAGGAACTGGCTGGCGTAGGAGGGTACCTTCCAGCTTTGTGCCATAGCTGTGTGGTAGCTTGTAGCCTTCTGTTACTGCCAAACATGATAATAAGACTAGAAAACTGCTTAATTCTTGCTGTCACATTACCAGCAACAGATGCCATCTGTGCCATGGTTGTACTAAGCTTAGAAATCTTTTAAAGTGCGTTGCTAACAGAAAAAGCAGAGCTCTGAATATACGAAGGGAACATACACTGAAGTGATTTTTCAGTCCTCATTTTTGGTATGTTTTGATACACCCAATGCTTGCTTACTTTCAGACTGTAAGCTGCTCACTTCTGTGGGCACCTTTTCGAAGCAGCTAAAGATGCTGAAGCACCAGCCCAGAAGAGTTGTGCTTGTTTTATACTTGCTGTATGTAGGCAGCTTATGTCTGTTACAGCCTTTGTACACAATTGCACTGTGTTCCTTTGATAGACAAGAGAAAGAATCTGGAGATAAATGACTATTACTTATTACTATTAATCAGGCTTGCTAATTGTGTGCTGTTGCGAGCTATACAGGAATGGGGAGATTTTCCTCGTTTTATTGCAGTGTAATTACTGTTGGTGAATAGCATTTGTGTGCCATTAGTTTTGTTGTGGGTTGATTTATACCTTGAGAAAACGTGTACTTTCTTTTCTGCTGATCATTTTGCCTTCCCTGAGATGCAGTCTCACTTAGCCCTTCTCTCTGGCATTTTCAATTAGCTGCCTGCTGGAACTGTACAATTAACAAGCAGAAAAATAATAGCTCAGCAGCCAGTAGCATGCTTATTTGAATTATTGAATTTTACTGTGGAGATTGGAAATAAAGTGGCCAATTGAATTCATTTTCATGTTTCATTTCAAATGAGTTATTTCCTTTTACTGGGAGGACACCACTCTGCTGTGTTTTGGTTTGTTTTAGTAACTCTCTCACGCAATAAACTGCATTGTCCTCCTCGTAGATATTTCCCATGCCTCTTGGAGCAGTGTGGGAGCTGTTTCACTCATCTGGGTTGGAATAGCTGCAGTAAGTGTTGTGTCCTCCTTTAGGTTCCCAACCCTCGCTTCCCTTTCTTGGGGTTTCATTTCACGCCAAGAATGGATGGCAGTGTTTGGCTCGGTCCGAATGCAGTGCTGGCCTTTAAGAGAGAGGGCTACAAGCTGTTTGACTTCAGTGCTACAGACTTCTTAGATGCTGTGCTGTACAGGTAATATCTTGTCTTTTAGTCTGCTGAGTGCACTTAATTAAATGTCAGCTTGTCGTTCCGTGGAAGCTCACTCTTGTCAAAAGCCCTGCCAAGTTTGTAGAGTTTTTAAAGGCAGATGTGCTGATACGAGTTGATTTCTCAAAGAGATTTGACTTGGTGTAATCTAATATTTGAAGTTTTTAAACCGCTGAGGCATGTGTCTGCAAGTGTGAGGATGTGGCCGTTCATGGGAAGGTGCTGGGGAGCCCTGTTCCTCCCAATGGGCTTCCAGGGCTGGTTTTGGTTCAATGGAGTGCAGTATTTTAATCAAGCTAGACAGTGGCATTAAATCTCTGCTTGGAAGAGAGAATACACATTGGCCTGAATTGTCATGTTAAACTTTGTCAGATCATCAGTATGAACTGAAATGCACCCAAGGGCAAGGAGATGTGTTAGCAGCCACAAAGGCTCCCTCCTTCAGCCAGAGGGTGGTGAGGCACTGGCACAGGTTGCCCAAGGAGGCTGTGGATGCCCCATCCCTGCAGGCATTCAAGGCCAGGCTGGATGTGGCTCTGGGCAGCCTGGGCTGCTGGTTGGCGACCTGCACACAGCAGGGGGTTGGAGCTGGATGAGCGCTGTGCTCCTGTGCAACCCAGGCTGTTCTAGGAGTCTGTGATTCTATGATAAGGCAGACTGGGAAGCAGCATATCAGAGGAGCTAGGAATCACTGCTAAAAATTCAAGCATAAATGAACAGAGTATCTTTAGAAGTTAAGAGAAATCTTGCTTCGCTGTGAGGGGTTGACAGACCTTTACTGAGTGCTTAATTTTAGGAATGAAACTGGGAAAATGATGTGGAAATTCTGGGTTGGATCCAGAGAGAGGCTGCAGAACAGGTCAGGGAACTGCAGAACAGCTTTCTGGCAAGGAGCTCAACTTTATCCAATTTATTAAAGGGAAAAAGCTGAAAGCATCTTGGTTGATGTCTATAGATTTTTGTGTTGGAAGGTTTGAGGAGAGCAAAGTTAGCAAATAAGGCTGTTGCAAAGACACAGTGAGATTCCTTGACTGAAAGCTGAGGCTGTTAGGAGTATGGCAGAGTTTTCAGAACGACTGTGGACTAAAGGCCCATTCAGTAAGGCTGTCCTCTCTTGCTATGGGGATTTGCAGCTTTTGGTTGTTTGATTGGACCAGAGGAAAATGCTGGACATAGGAAAGACTCAGCTCAGAGTCTGCAGCACTGCAGCTTTGTATTCAAGGTTTGTTGAAGCAGGAAGAACATGAATCTATTTTCCAAATAGAAAGCATCTGTCAGATCACTGATGTTGGGAAGGGGAAATTCCACCAGGCAGTTGGATTTGCTTCCTTCTTAGGCAGCTTTAGTTGGACGTGGCTGTGCTTATCGTGGAAGCTTTGTTTCTCCCACAGTTGTTTTCTTTTCCTCTACAGTGGCTTATGGAAACTTGTACTGAGAAACTTATCGTATGGACTGAATGAGATGTACAGAGCGTGTTTCCTTAGTGCACAGGTGAAGGAACTTCAGAAGTTCATCCCAGAGGTCACCGTCAATGACGTACTCAGGTAAAGAAAACACTGCTTGTCAGTAACACCCACTGGTTTCCTAAACCTCTTCTTTTCTTTTTGTTTCTTTTTTGAACGGCAACAAATGCAGCTCACTGCTTTCTTCCACCAAAATGCACGCGGAATCATTAACAGATACTGCTGCTTTGCACAAGAAGGTGTCTGAGGAATGTTTGTTTTACTTTGTTTGGTCTCCATTGGCTGAAATTCACAGAAGAGACCAAAAAGAAAACAAGTCTTCATAATTTCAATCCACAAAGAGAGTAAAGGCTAGTGAAATTAATCAGTGAATGGCTAGTGGATGGGAAAGCCAGAGAGCTGTTACTGATGCTGCTAAAGGGAGAGATGTAGCATAACTCCTTGTATTTAGAAGACTGCTAATTGACCCTGAACATATGGCTTAAAACATAGCTGTTTAGTGGAAAATGGAAAAATGGAAGGGTGTAGTGCTGGAAAAGAACTAGAGCTGGCAGAGATTCTGAGAAGTGCTTGCATCTCTGTTTTGTACAAGGAGGAGGACAGTGATGTTGCTACATGTGTGCTTAAAAGTACTGTGTCTTCAGATAGAAGCAAATACTGACTTGGTTTGAATGCGTCAGTGAAATTGTATTCAGCTTCGTGATGCGAGGAGAGAACAAGGAATTCAAAGGAGTGTAGAAATGATAAGGAAATGAAGAGACTTGTCAGGAAATGTGAGGCGTTTAGAATACTTGGGGATGATTTTAACTGTCTAAATATTTGCAGGGAGAAAATGCAGTGTAAGAAAGAGCTGGAGCATGGTAAAAAGGAGTTACTGAGCTCAGGCAGTGTACCGCTGGCATGAAATTCATGCTTGATGAGGCTTGCCATTCCAAAACAAAGGATTCTCTTTTGAAAAGAGAGGGCTTGATTGCGTGTTTGAGAAGGGAGGATAACTTCACAATGAGGAACAATACAGAAAATCCTCTGCCTGGCTACCTGCCCTTCTTCTGTCCTGATCCCACTGAGGCACCTCCTGCTCTGCCTCTCAGGGTGTCCAAGTGCCCTGTGCTCCCCCAGCAGCACAGCAGCTGCTCTCATTGCTTTTTCCCCGGGCATCTTCTCAAAATTGGAACGCAGCTGATTTTTGGACCTGAGAAAACTCCAACGTTCTCAGCCTTCAGGACTAATTTGAAATGGAGAAGGGCAGATTTTCTAACACCCCGGAGGGAATAGCTTCTTTATAGGAAGAATTAGTAGCTTATGAAATGTAATTCCTTAAATGTTGTGGTGTTTACACTATTGCTTTGGAGACTTAAAGCTGGACAGAATGGAAAAATGGAATGATCTCTGCAGCTTTGTTTGCAGAGGACAAACTTGCTGTTCAGGACTGAGGAGGAGAGGTAAAGTCCCACGCTGCAAATGGTTGGTGAGCAAACAGTTGGAATGAGTCTTCTGGGCTTGTTCTGTTCCTGTATTGGCTTTGACTGTGGTGGAAAGCAAGCTGTTAGGGTAGGTGGGCCAATGGTCTGACCCAGCAGGAATGTTCTTGTTGGGTTTGTTACAGATAGCACAGATCTCCACCTTGGGGGTTATTTTCTAGTAAAAGAGAACTCTTGATTCTTGTTTCTTTAGCTCCAAATGAACAATGCATTTATGGTTTTTCTAGTAACCAGCCCAGGTGGTAACACCCAGTGGGGTGTCACAGAATGGCAGAAGGGGACAAGCAAGCTAGTGCCTGTTGAATGGAAGCACATTTCCTAGACTGACTCATAATCAATTGTGTAAAATCTTTGGTTTTGCCACCAGAGGGGCACAGAGACTCTGATAAACTTATATAGAATTAGTCTGCAGTGAGCTGTTATGTCAGATTTCTTCCCATGAGGTGCTCAGAGTCCCGTCCAGCCTGACCTTGAACATCTCCAAGGATGAACCCTGAAAATATCTATGTGAAGAAATTGATCAGGGTTGTATTTACGTTCTGAGAGAACGTGTCAAAACTTGGATAAAAGTATGTAACTTAAAAATGTAACTTCAGATAAGGCCCCTCTTTTTGATTTCGAATGGAGCACACCAGTGTCTTACCTTTTCCTTTGTTTCTGTGGTTTGTGAATGTTGTAACTAATTTCTGGATCTTCATTTTCTAAGAGGGGCTGCTGATAGTATCTCTAGCCTTTATCATGTTTCAGTGAAGCCGACTGGACGGTTACAACACCTTCACTCTGACGTTGTGCTCCTCCTTTGTTTTGCAGGGGTCCATCTGGAGTGAGAGCACAAGCGTTGGACAGCGATGGGAATTTGGTGGATGACTTTGTATTTGATGGTGGCACCGGAGATATTGGAAGCAGAATTCTTCATGTCAGAAACGCCCCTTCTCCCGCTGCCACCTCCTCCCTTGCCATTGCAGAAATGATCGCTGATGAAGTGAAGCAAAGATTTGAATTGTGAATGATTGCCAGGCGCAGGGCTGCTTTACCCCTCTTGTATGTGTAGCTGCTTGTCTGAACTCTGCAGCCTTTCATGATGAAGATAAAACAGGCAGCGTGTTGCTGGTACAAGATGTGCAGTGCAAAAACAGCACTTGAAATGTTTGCCAGCCCACAGCTTGTCGGCTTCCCAAGTAGAGGATGGTTGGTGCCGGGCAAGACCTGCTATGGTGCTGCCATCTGCAAGAGCCAAGCAAGTGGGCTGCTCACAGTGAGGGCTTGGCTGCAGGCTCAGCTGGAGCAGGCTGTGGAGGGGCTGGTGCTCAGTGCAGGGTGAGGTTCTCACACCAGGCCCACAGTAGGTGGGGAAGGAGGAGCCTCTGTGGTTGGGTTGCCCACCTTTGAAGAACCCCAGGCACCGGGTGGTTCTGTGCACTGTCTCTCTGTCACTTTAAATCGGCTTGGAGTCATCAGACCCCTAACTGATGTTAAAATAATGGAGATGGAAGGATAAACCCTGCCTAAGGATTCTTCTGCAGATACAGAATTCAGGGTTTTAGTGGAGACTGAAAGTAGCTGAATATAGCTATGTACTTAATAGCTGAATATTCAGAGAGAAATAAGCCTGGCAAGAGATTACCAAACCCAAGTCAATTTCGACTGTGAATCTCCACTTGCATCTTTGTTATCTATTTTAGTATTGAGCTGAAATTAAAATGTATACAGTATCAGACCTTTTTCATTTGGCTTAGATCTCAGAAGCCGTCATGAATGGGGAACTTCTTTAGTGGTTTGAGTTGTTGGGTTTTTTTTTTTCCTCATTTGTTTTTTACCCTTTGAATACTGGTAGGACAAAAGAAGCTTATCTTTGTACAGCATGTTGAGCAACCCAGTGGAAATGGCCTTTGTAAAAGCAAATGTGCAGGGAGGGAAGCTACAGAAACCTGTCTTAACTGAGTCATGTTGCATGCTGCTTCCCTTGGAGCCCAAGCAGAGGTGAGTCAGGAAGGCTTCCCATTGCCCTCCTGGCTGCAGGAGGGGAGCTCACCCTTACTGCTGTTTGAAGCTGTGTCAGAGGTGCACGCAGAAGAGAATCCACGTGGAGAACATGCTGTAAAATACAACTAGATGTGAAACGAGTTCTGAGTCAACTGAGCATCTCAGTGCGTTCTGCATCATTGCTGCAAAAGGAAATACGTGGCCTCAGGGGCAAAGCACTTCAGAATATTCTTAAAGCAGATGTTCACAGGATGTTGGGTAACAGATAATTGTGGGTAGTTTGCTACCAGGCAATTTGCCATGTGTTTTTTTTTTAAAGGTTGCTTTCTGTAGTTCTCTGCCATGCACGAAGAAGGTCAGATATGCAAATAAGGAGCCTTTTGAAGTAAAGTTCGTTACTGTGAGAGCAGTGAGGTGCTGGAACAGCTGCCCAGAGAGGCTGTGATGCCCCGTCCATCCCTGGAGGTGTTGAAGGCCAGGTTGGATGGGGCCCTGGGCAGCCTGGGCTGCTGTGAAATGTGGAGGTTGGTGGCCCTGCATGGCACAGAGGGGTTGGAGCTTCGTGATCCTTGAGGTCCCTTCCAACCCAGGCCGTTCTGTGACTGTGAAAAGCTCTCACCTGTGTTCCTGCCCACAGCAATACTTGATGAAGGTTCACATGTTCCAGGTGCTGTAATGTTGTACAGTGGTATCACAACGGAACAGCCGTATCTCTGCTCCCCTCCAGAAGTGTTGCCAGTCAGCAGTAAATACTACAGAAAGATTGCAAAAGTGACTTCCTCCCACACGAGGTGTGGCCCTGACATGTATTAACAGAACAAGAACACTACCGTGTGAAGCAGACATACACCACGATGAGTCTTAGTGCATTTAAAGTGTGCCTTGCTGTGCTTTTTGCTCTCAGGAGATGGTAGCATTTAACTGAAGCCAGCAGAATATTTGTGTTTTTAAAGCTTGCTATCAACCTTTTGTAACGTCACTCACATATTGCCCACGAAGTAGGAAGATGTATGAATATATGTATTTTTAAAAGGTCCAGTTCACTTGGGTGGCTCAATCAGCTTGCCTTTCTCTGTTGTGATTAAAAGAGTGTATTTTTCCAAAAAATGCTGTAATGTCTCTGTGTCTCTCCTGACTTAGAGCAAAGTTCTGCTGGCAGTTGCTAACTCTCATCTGATGTGGATGGGATGCAGCTCTGCATCACAGGAGTTACTTTATGTCTTTCTTTAGGAGACGGGGAGCAGGGAGCTCATCTTCCCAAAGCACCTGTATCTCAGAGCACTGCACAGCTTTTTGTCACTGCAGATAGAACTGCTGCTAAGCCTCATCCTCATCATAGACAGTCCCAAGTTGGAAGCAACCCGTTTTAGAGGGAAGTTTTTGAGCCAGAGGGTGGTGAGGCACTGGCACAGGTTGCCCAAGGAGGCTGTGGATGCCCCATCCCTGCAGGCATTCAAGGCCAGGCTGGATGTGGCTCTGGGCAGCCTGGGCTGCTGGTTGGCGACCTGCACACAGCAGGGGTTGGAGCTGGATGAGCGCTGTGCTCCTGTGCAACCCAGGCCGTTCTAGGATTCCATCGGGTTCATGGAGTCCACCTCCTGGCACAGCCCAAATGATGAAATGCTGAGTGCCCCACGCTGTGGCTCACTGGATGGCTGCCCTGGGAGAAACTGTGTTCCTTCATTTCACTGCATTGTGTGCCGTTGTAGCATCGATTTTGGGGCCACCACTGCCTCATCTTGGAGCAGTCGGGGAACAACTGGGGCTTCCTGGGGGCAGGGATGTCCCACCTGGAGGAACACAGGCGGTGGGGGCTTGGAGCTGCACTGTGGGTTATGCTTTTCTCCTTGCTCACACTTTGGGTTTGATGAATGTTTTCCCACTGAAATAAAGACTTCGTTGGAAACTTTCCAGCAAACAGCACGGGGCAGGAGGAGCTGTCAGTGCCCTACAAAGCATCACGCAGACAGGCAGTGCGTTCCGATGCAGTGCATCCCTTTGTAGAGAAACCCTAAGAAGGGGTTATGTAAAGTGCGAGCCGTGAACGCAATGAGCTCGGAAAATTTGGCTGCTCGGGAGGCGGAGGGGACTGAAACCAGCGCTCTCTAGGGGGGTGAAAGGAACTGCCCGGAGCTAGGGCGAGGCTGCTGTTGACAGGTTACTGAGCAACACGCCGCTGGTTTTTCCCAGGACGGCCGTTCTGCTTGATTCTTCCGTCAGGGCAAGGCTGCTTCACGGAATCACAGAACGGCCCGGGTTGGAAGGGACCTCAAGGGTCACGAAGCTCCAACCTCCCGCCTCCAACCTCCACATTTCATAGCAGCCCAGGCTGCCCAGGGCCCCATCCAACCTGGCCTTCAACACCTCCAGGGATGGACGGGGCATCCACAGCCTTCCTGTAAAGAGGAAAGGAATAAGGGAAAGCAAGGAGGGGCAGGTGAAGGGACTGCCGGGGGGGCGGCGCCGCGCTGCGACCCCCGGACCTCGGCACGATGCCCCGAGCGGCGCCGCCCCCCGTAGCGCTGAGCGCGACGCGGCCGGCAGGTGGCGCCATAGCGGTAGGGCAGAGGGCGGCTTGCCGAAGGCGGCGCATGCGCGCTGAGGGCGGCGGCGGTAGCGGGCCGCAAGGAGCGGGGCCGACGGCGCTTCAGCCGCCGCCCCGTCAGCGCCCGGCGAGCGGCACGGAGCCCGGCCCTCTACCGCGCCGGATGTGATGGCCGCCCGGGCGGGGGGGCGAGCCTAGCGCTGGCCGGCCCGGCTCTGACGGGCGGCGGCGGCGGCTTCTCCTTCCCCTCGGCGCTCCCTCCTCGGTCCGGGGAGCGACTGGGCGGGTTGTCCCGATGCGGAAAACAGGCAGCAGCCATGCAACCGCCGCCGCAGCCCTACGAGTTCTTCGGTGAGGAGAATGGCCCGAAATGGCGGGGGCTGTTCGTGCCCGCCCTGCGCAAGGTCAGTCCGGGGGTGGCGGTGCTGAGGGCACCGAACTGGGGTGCTGCTGAAAGGATCGTGCTGTGCTGGGCTCCTGGCTGCGAGTGGAGGTAAAGGAGGAAGGCTCCTTCTTACACGCAGGGGAAACGGCTTCGTGCTTTGGGTTGGGTGTCAGAGGGAAATCCTTCACCCTGAGGGCATGGCACTGCTCACAGCTATGGGGCCATCAGCAGAGGGGTGGCAGCAGGGACAGGAGGTGATTGTCCCCCTCTGCTCTGCTCTTGTGAGGCCCCAGCTGCAGTGCTGTGTGCAGGTCTGGAGCCCCCAGGAAAGACAGGGAGCTGTTGGAGAGGGTCCAGAGGAGCCACAGAGATGAGCAGGGGGCTGCAGCACCTCCACTACAAAGACAGGCTGAGGGAGCTGGGCTTGTTCAGCATGGAGAAAAGAAGGCTGCGGGGTGAGCTCAGTGCAGCCTGCAGTGCCTAAAGGGAGCCTGCAGACAGGAGGGGAGTCAGCTCTTGGCAAGGGGAGATGGCAGCAGGACAAGGGGAAATGGTTTGGAGTTGAGGGAGGGCAGATGGAGGTTGGCTGTCAGGGGGAAGTTGTGTGCTGTGAGAGTGGTGAGGTGCTGGAACAGCTGCCCAGAGAGGCTGTGATGCCCCGTCCATCCCTGGAGGTGTTGAAGGCCAGGTTGGATGGGGCCCTGGGCAGCCTGGGCTGCTGTGAAATGTGGAGGTTGGTGGCCCTGCATGGCACAGGGGGGTTGGAGCTTCGTGATCCTTGAGGTCCCTTCCAACCCGGGCCATTCTGTCATTCTGTGGGTGCCACATCCCTGGAGGTGCCTGAGGTTACAGGCAGCTTACAGCAATGGTTTGGGGCCCCTTCTGACCCGAAGCAGTGCTGTGGTCGGGCAGTGGGTGCTGTGCCGTGCTCAGTTGGGTGCCTGTGGTTAAAGCACCCCACGTCACCCTGGCACAAACCACCGTGCAGAGAGGTGGGGCTCTGTGGCAGTTTGACCCCGACGGGTCTCATTAAATCTAAATGGCGTCTTCGGTTGTGAAATAAGATGTAAAAGTCAGAGAACTAATGCTGCTCCTGACAGTGCTAACCACTTCTGTACGTTTGGGTCAAAAAACCCAACAGAGCAGGGTCGCCATCCTGTGAGCTTTCTTTCTAACCAGAGAAAATAAATCTTCAGCCCCGGTGGCTGCTTGTTAAAATGTGCAATTGCTTATAGGTGTCTTTTCTCCTCGGGACGTTCCTTGTCTGCTGTAGCCACTCTGTAGCATGAAGCAATCCCACTGTAAGATGCATGTCATTTCTGAACGTGCAGTATCAGTGAGTCAAAACAAAGTGGTCTCATCGTTCTGGCTGCTGCAGGCTGTGCTGGAGGTGCTGCCAGCTGGGAAACCCTGCCTGAAAGATGCAGTGCTCTGATACAGACACAGGGGGAAGGGTCTTTAAACCAGGACGTGTTAGAAATTCATGGCTTATTGCACTGTTTACATCTTGCACTCTGATAACAAAAGCATTGCTGTTATTGATGGGAAAGCTGGAAGCTGTACCACTGAAAACCCACTGTGCATTGAAGAAACAGGTTGGTACTTTCTGCATTTAGAAAGCATTGCAGCTGTATATTATTAATTAGTCTCTAAGTTAATTCTGAATTGAGTTGGAGCTGTGTTGGAACACTCCCCATCAGCAGTGCTGCGTCCAGGTCTGGAGCCCCCAGTACAGGAAAGGCAGGGAGCTGTTGGAGAGGGTCCAGAGGAGCCACAGAGATGAGCAGGGGGCTGCAGCACCTCCACTACAAAGACAGGCTGAGGGAGCTGGGCTTGTTCAGCATGGAGAAAATGCAGTACCTAAAGGGAGCCTGCAGACAGGAGGGGAGTCAGCTCTTGGCAAGGGGAGATGGCAGCAGGACAAGGGGAAATGGTTTGGAGTTGAGGGAGGGCAGATGGAGGTTGGCTGTCAGGGGGAAGTTGTGTGCTGTGAGAGTGGTGAGGTGCTGGAACAGCTGCCCAGAGAGGCTGTGATGCCCCGTCCATCCCTGGAGGTGTTCAAGGCCAGGTTGGATGGGGCCCTGGGCAGCCTGGGCTGCTGTGAAATGTGGAGGTTGGTGGCCCTGCATGGCACAGGGGGGTTGGAGCTTCGTGATCCTTGAGGTCCCTTCCAGCCCGGGCCATTCTGTGGTTCTGTGCTTGTCAACCAGATTAGGTACAACCTGAGGCAGCATCTTTTGTGACTGCAGCTGAGCTTTAGGAACTTTCCTGCCAAACATCTGCTCTCAGAGCACACTGAACTTCCAAGCTTCTCCACAGCAATCAGTGCTGCAAGGTCAGGGTAGCATTCCATTTCCTATTTGGAAGGCTTTCTTTGAGTTATTTTTAAATGAGCGCTTAATTGGAGCAGAGAAGCAGAGTTGAAAAACAAACGTGTTGGTGGTTGTTATGTATGCTGAGGTGTGGGAAATGTTAATTTGGAAATACAACAAGAAATGGAGCTGGCTGACAGGTCAGTGCAGTTACCTGTGCTCATAGGGTTTCTGTGCTGCTTGCATTTTAAGTGCTTTGGAGAGCTTGACTCTCATTCCTTGTGCACACAGCAAGTTTTAAGGTCATTTTTGATCAGAACACCTAAAGCCACGTAGTTCTGTGCAGTGCAGCTGGCTGCTGACAAACTGTGAATGAAAAAATGGAATACTTCAGTTCTTGCTTTAATATGTGAAGAAGTTGAGGATCTGTTTCTTGAATGTTATTCTCTGTGCATTTAGGCAGGTTTGTATCCTATTTGTTTAAGGAGGGCAGATGGAGGTTGGCTGTCAGGGGGAAGTTGTGTGCTGTGAGAGTGGTGAGGTGCTGGAACAGCTGCCCAGAGAGGCTGTGATGCCCCGTCCATCCCTGGAGGTGTTGGAGGCCAGGTTGGATGGGGCCCTGGGCAGCCTGGGCTGCTGTGAAATGTGGAGGTTGGTGGCCCTGCATGGCACAGGGGGGTTGGAGCTTCGTGATCCTTGAGGTCCCTTCCAACCCAGGCTGTTCTGTCATCCTTAGGTGACAGAAGAGTGCTAAATTGTGTCTGCTGGGGGCAATCTTCTTTGGGAGGGGAGAAAAAAAAAAGCAATGCCTTGGGGCCTCGTCAAGGTGGAATTGTTAAGGTAGTTTCATATATTTATGCTCTTTCAGCTGGTGGATTTAGGAGCATCAGGTCCCCATGGAATGCTGGCTGCTGAGCCTTTGTTAGCAGCAGGCTCGTTCTGCCTCGTCTTCCTATCAGTGGTTGGGTATCTTTGCAAGTTGGTTTTGGTCCCTTGTTTGTGGATGGGCTGATTTCTCTTGTTGCAGAAATACTCCCTATCACAAATTAGGAACCAAAGGGACTGGTTCCTTTTACTTAAATCCTATTTTTTATTGCTTTTTTTTTTTTTTTCTTTCCAGCTGTTACCCTGTTTGGCTTAACTACTGTTACTACATTTTGCAATTGGCAAACTGTAGGAGGAGAATTTTCTCAGGCACTGGCACAACATGAAGGTGGTTTTTGGAGCTGAGGTGTTTAAAAAAAGTAGAAGGAGCGGCACAGTTTTATTTGGCAGCAATTAGGAAACACTTCCTACAAATTAAAAACCACAAGCTGTTTGCTGCCGGGAGGAGGGCGTGAAGGGCTGTGCCTGGTTTGTTTGGGGTTTGTCTCAACTTGAGGCATTTTATAAGGATGAATATAATCCAGATGTTTAATTTGAAGATGCAAACAAGTGTTTGTGTTCTTATGCCTTTCTGCTTGACCCTTTGCATAAAACAACAGGATCAGCACCTGCCTGCACCTCCTATGGGAAGCCCTGCCCTGCACCTCTGTCCTTTTCCAGCATGTGCTATCCATCACTAGTCAGGCAGCTGAGGATGAAGAGGTTTGTGTTTCTGCTACATGGTGCTGTAGGATGGCAGTTCAGTAAGCCCTCCCTGTGCACAGGGCAGCTGGGTGGTGGTCTGCATCCCAGAGGCTTTTTGCAGCACAGTAACTGTGTTATGTGAGTGTCTTGTTTTGTTGACTGTGCATCGAATGGTTGCAGTGTAAAAGGTGAAATCTGCAGTCATAGAGTTACAGAATGGATGGGTTGGAAGGGACCTCAAAGCCACCCCTGCCATGGGCTGGATGCCCCCCAGCTCGGGCTGCCCAGGGCCCATCCACAGCCTCAGGCACCTCCAGGGATGGGGCATCTAGAGCTGTGGGCAGTGCCAGGGCCTCACTGCCCTCTGAGTGAAGACTTTCCCCTTAACATCTGAGCTCTCCCCCCCTCTTTTAGTTCAAAACTGTTCTTCCTTGTCCTGTCCCTTTTCACTCATGTGAAAAGTTCCTCTTCTGTTTATAAGCTCCCTTTAGATACTGCAAAGCCACAGTGAGGTCTCCCTGGAGCCTTCTCCTCTCCAGGCTGAACACCTCCAGCCCTCAGCTTGTCTCCATAGGAGAGGTGCTCCAACCTTTGAGTATCTTCATGCCCTCCTCTGGACCAGCTCCAGCAGCCTCATGTCTCTCTGTGCTGGGCCCAAGCCTGGACACAGCACTGCAGGTGGGGCCTCACAAGGGCAGAGCACAGGTCAGTCCCCTCCTTGCCCTCTGTTGGTGCAGCTCAGGGTACAGCTGGTGTTCCAGGCTGCAAGCGCACTGCTAGGTTACATCCAGCTTCTTGTCCACCCCAACCCCCCAGTGCTACTCAGCAGTGCAGCTCTCAGTGTGCTTCTCCTGGTCTGTACGCATAGCTGGAACTGCTGTGACCCAAGTGTGGCACCTTGCTTTTGGCTTTGTTGAACCTCATGAGGTTCCTGTGGCCCGCTTCTCGAGCCTGTCCAGGTCCCTCTGGCTGTGTCCCTTCCTTCTATCATGTCACCACTCAGCTGGGTGTCATCATAGAGTCCTAGAATGGTCTGGGTTGCACAGGAGCACAGTGCTCATCCAGCTCCAACCCCTGCTGTGTGCAGGTCGCCAACCAGCAGCCCAGGCTGCCCAGAGCCACATCCAGCCTGGCCTTG